CTTAAAGGTGAGCTAAATGTTGATCTAAAAGATTTGTATACAAAGAAACAGAAATATACGATATGTTTCGCATTTGAAGAAAGTTTGCTATCTTAGGTTTAATCAAATAATTGCTTTTAAAATAGAGTAGCATTTGATCTGTTTTTTGTGTTTTAAGTGTCAAGAGATACCATTTCTCAATCGTATGATTGAACACAAAAACAAATGGCATTTCTTATTAAATTAGATGCGAATCATTGCAATTATATCGCAACTAAAGACTCGTTCAAACATTTCTCAAAACCCATGATTTCGGAGTTGAGTTAATAAAATCAATGAGAGAGCGAAACAGTTATGGCATTAGTTGTTTCGTTACATTGCCTCACAAATAGGGGCCTTAATTTTATAAATGTCTTCATATTTAAAGTAAAATAATAACTTATATTAATATAAAGCTCTGGCAAACACTTTAAGTGATATATGAGATCGAAAAAAGTTTTGTTCTCCGTTTATACTCATGAGTGAGTGAATTGCGAGCATATAATGAAATTATTGTGTAATTCTATAAGTTATGCCATTAAAGAGAGTGCAATATATCTATGGCTTACCCAATAAGAAGCCATCCTTCGCCCACTGGACGCGCGCCTCAACCGCACCGGTATTCACATCACCACTGATTTGGCACTCGAGCTCAGCGTCAGCTCCTTATGTTATATTAACATTCAATCAATCATTCATTTAATTCAAAACACCATTTCTTTCACACATTGTTTATAAAGTTTTAATCATACCTTCGATGACCTCAACGTCTTTGGGTTTTACTTTAAAGTATTGGTGATTTGTTGAGTCGCCGGTCGCCGTACTAATAGCTTGTTGTGTCAAACAAATTGTCAGACATATGATCCAAACCAATACTATGTTTGCAAATGTGACACAGTCTGCAAATTATCACAAGTTAATTAATTAATTAAATGATAGCAAATAATTTAGGAAAAGATTATAAACACAGTAAATGATAGCCAGACATAAGTTTTCATCTTAAAACTCAAAGCCCTTATAAACTCTATAAATATATAACTTAATATTGCATAACATTCTTATGAATTACTGTATGTTTTATAAAGCTTTATAATAGATTTAACGATCAATTTTGCAATAAATGTAAATTATATGTGGTTTGCTTTTTTTATATAAAATAAACTTTGGGTTTATTTCGTTATTAAAGACTATAAATGTTAATATAATTTACATTCAGATTCTGTGTCTTAAGAATATTCATATCAAAATATCTTGCAATTGTTAGTAATATATTGTTATATATTTATGAATAATAACACAGTTCTTAAACAAAAAACATAATAATTAAAACTTGTTTTGAATTATTGCATAAATTTTCGGCAAATGAAAGTACAGTACTTATAAGATATACGTTAAATATATAATAAATGTAATTTTATACAGCATTAGATAAAATAGTTTAAGTATGCAATGGATTACATCTTTTTATCTGAAGAGAAAATAGTTATCCAAAGTATCAATTATTAGTTCGTATAAAGGGATCATATTTTTTGATAACACACTTGTTATGTATTTGAAAACCTTTTTCACATGAATTTACTTTAAATAAATCTTTTTTTTACAATATAATCAAAATAATTGAATGTAATAATTTGCTTATGTATTATAATTGTGTTTTTCTATTAAAGTAATCTACTCTAGCATTGCTTTACTGTACTTTACAGTACAATACAATATTAGAGCTACTATTGTGTCCAAATTGCAAGTCTCTGTTTTTTAACAACAAGTCATTTGGGAAACCAAATCGATAACTATATTGAAGATGTACTCAAGCTTTTGGTAATAAAACTAAAATAGAAAAATATTTGGAAAGAGTTGAAGAAATTTTATTTCCCAAACAATTCTTTCCTTCAAATCACTTGCGAATGGAGGAAATAAATGAGTTATGTTTGCATTTATACATCAATATTTGCGACTAATTTATTGAAAAAGTTGATACAATTCAAGTCAAATATTGTAAACAATATCATTTCTAAACATTGTTTTGCAATTTTTATTATAGTATTTTTTCGGGTTTAATATCAGAATAATATAAGAGTTTTAGTGAAGTAAAGAGAATGAAATGGCCATCACTTTAGTGAACATAAAGCGTTTTGTTAGCAAATGATGTCTAAGTTATTTGGAAACGAGTCTTCACATGAATTACTGCCAAATGTTTGCTTATATTCATTGCTAAAACTTTTTTATTTATGGCTTAAGTAAAGTAGAGGAAGGAAAAGATGGGCACAATATATATGATATATTCCTATGTGTTATACAAAAAAAATAAAGTCTACTTTTGGCTCGAAATCACAACTAAATTGAAATACTCTTAAGTTTTGTTGTTAAGAGCAAAACAAGGACTTAAAACACCGATTGCTTAATAATGGCATTAAAGAGGCAGACAGTGAGTGCCGACAAACTCTCACTTCATTAACGGTGATTACAACAAGAAATTTGATTTTCTATGCCTTCTAATGATGTCTGTAGTGTTAGCTATTGTGTCGATGTGTGTCATGTCATGTCTCTTACAATTGATGCTCAAAACTCTTCTCAACAATTTATACCATTCAATACGTGAGATTCAAAACCTATGAAATCAAGCCCTAAGAAAGTGTGACTAAAGAATAGCCAATACAGGGCTTACGGTCTATAAGAAGAGAGAAAAACATAAAAATGTTTATACAAATGCTTGTACTGTATTTGAGAGACACTGAAACCTTAGAGAAGTCCCTTTGAGTAAAGGAAACGGAGTATAAGTTTGTGAAAATCACATGGAATTGGATGTGGAAGAGGGCAGTCGTGCACGAGTTTAGACCATTCTCTCCATTACTATATTTTGTTCACCAAAGGTTCCCATTAAGTACTTCTTATAAACACATTTCAAAACTCATAAATCACTTGTTTTTACTTTCAATATAATGCTTCTAATTTGATAAGACATGAGATATAAGTTTAGAGTGAACTTCTGTTATATTAATTTACTAAACATTACTTCACATCTAATAACAGTCTAACGTACAGTTGTATTGTGTTTATTAATTAAATAACTTGTCAAATATTATTTTTATATTTTATTTTAAATATAATGTTCAAATTTACTTAATTAAAAACTTTGTTTAAAAATAATGACTATGCAATGCATTAGACATCTAATAAAATATTATGCTTATTTTTAAAACAAAAACTTTAAATATAAAATACCATAATTATTAATTTGCGTTACAGAAAAATTTCATAAAGTTTCTAAAGTTTTATTAAAGTTAAGAATTGTGAAGATATAGTGAGGACTTATAATTCATACAATGCTAACAAAACCCCTAAAAATTTCAAACTTCAATCTTATTTTGCATAAACTTATCCCAAATCCGGCCAAAAATCATTAAAACTAAAATCTGAAAATCTCTTCTTTTAAAAACAGGTACAAAATTTCGTAAATCTTAAGTGATTTATATTTTTCTTTAAAAGAAATCATTAATATTTTTGGGCTTCGGTTTCAATCTCAAGGAAGGAAATGCAATGAAAGCAAAAATAAACAAACATTTATATAATATAACCACAAATGCCTCTAAGAATTAAGTTAAGCACTGAATCGATAGCTTTGAAGAAACCATTGAGACTTACAGTCTTATAGTCGTTATAATTTTCAATTAAATTTTTGCTTACTTTTAAGTTTGATTTTACATTAATTATTAATAATGAGACCAAGATTATTTTTAAAATTATTCTAATGAAACTAGAAATATGAAATTTGGAATAAAATCATGTAAAATTAATTAATATTTGCCTACATTTCTAAAAATATGATAATAATTGACATTTAAATTATTTAAACAAATTTTAAAACTTAAAAATACTGTAAATTTGGTGTTAAGTATTACATAATCCTCTAAAATGAAAAAGCAATTTTTATAGCATTATATTATTATATAATACACAGTGAACTAGAATTGTTTAACTAAACTTACATGTTACAGTTAACTGTTAACTTATAAAATGCATGTCTTTGACAGACACGCCGAACACTCACAATGAAATGCATTACAATATTTTTGGGAAAACTGCAAAAATAGTTGACAAAACCCGAAGCGCTTGTAATTTTAAAGCCAATACAAGCTATGAATTGATGTCAAGAATGAAGTGAATAAATGATCTTATATTTTATGGCTAATAACTTATCGCCAAATATGTTTAAAACAATCCATTGTATAAATAATTAAACTCTTTTTAAATTAATGTTTTTAAAAATACAAAAACAGATTAAAAGTGATTTTTTTGTTAAAATTATGAATTTATTTATAACTGAATATTTCGGGAAAGAATTTTATAACTAAAATTACAGAATAGCTATAATTTCTTTTTTATTTTGAAAGTATAGCTCAAAGCATTAAAAGTCATTGTTTTACATTATTTTACTGAATTTTGTATTAACATTCAAGTATGTCTAACATTTCTGTATATTTTTCATAATATCAAGAATGCTATCATTTGATCACTTAAATAATCGATATAAATGAGATTTTAATTCCCTGTTGTAACAATAATATTTAATTTTTTAATGTGAATTTTAAAATTTTATTTAAAACTTTAAATAACTTTCTAATTACCAATTAGTGTGAGTTTTATAAATTGAATACTAAAATTAATTATTAAATCCATCATTAAAGAATGTAACTAATTATTACATAAAATTTCATACTTAAGTATCTTTTATACAAAAATATATTAAATTTTTAAAATGCTTTAATTGTGACAACAATTTTAATAACGGATGAAGACTTCACGCAATTTTATTTGAGGCTTAAAATTGGTAAAGAATTTATTCGTTTATTCTTTTGATTGGTGTTCGCAATGAATGGCATGTCTTTACAAATAAATGTTGAGCTCAGAGATCAAACATGTGGTCATTGGCTTCAAACTAAATATTATTGCTCTCATCTCTGCTGAATTTGGTTGACATTCAATTAACTGTCAGCCATCGAGAGATGTGATGTATTAGTAGAGATGGGGACCAGTTGTCGGCTTGCGATAGAGGCCGAGCCAATGGATCCACAATTGGAGACAAAAGCCATTTTGGAGACTCTATCGCATCAGTGGACGCATTAAAACCCGGGATAACTAATGTCTCTACAAAAGTGTTTGCCATACAGTATACAGATAGTGTAGTGTTGTGTGCAGTCTATGTGTTATACGCTCTGACTTTAGGAGAAAAATACAATCATTTGAAAGGAGAGCGGAATGAGGAGGAAAAGAGAGATCAAAGACTATATCAGTGTTTGGAATAAAGAGCTGAGTCTTACAGACGAGCGAATAGTAAATAAGATATAAATCGAGGCAACAAAAAAGTTTGGTCCCAATTGAAGCGTTTTATTATTGCATAAACTATTAGCTAATGAGTGCTTTAATTAACTTTTAAAACGATTAAAAGAGTTTGAGTTTTATATATAATCAAAATATAATATCAAATGTGAGTCTCAATTAACAGCAAACTCTATACATCGTGTGTGCAATGCATTTACAACACTTTTCTCCAACATATACTTTATAAGACTATTTTGTAGTGAATGTCTTGGATATGCAAATACAGGCAACACATGACAGAGCACTGTATGTATACCGAAGAACCCATTGAATGCATCACTTAATTGATTCCCAGCACTCAATGAATATTAAACAGCACTTGAATACCACTCTTATTATAAGATTTGCCGATCGCTCATAAGATCCAATAGTAATTGTAATTACTTTCATTCACACGATATATCAATAAATGATTTTAAATAATTGATGTCAAAACTGATGCCTTACCGACACGGATGGGCTGTTGGCCGACAATATTCTGGCCAATCGTACGGCACTTCATTCGATGTGAGGATCTTTTGTCAAACCAAACATCAGATGATTTGCTATATTATATTATATTTTAAGTTTAATTAAACTGCATATTATTTATATGACATGTTATCCTGAAATCAATTCATCATTTGAAGTCATTTCATATAACGTTACTTTTGATCACACAATTAGTGTTATTTTCACAGCAAATGAATTCACGAAACAAATAAACTCATTAAAAGCAATAATAATTAGAGAAATGGACACAAATAACCAATTGGTAGCAAATAGAAGAAAAGTTTGCCATTCAGACGATAAACTGCTATATATTACAAAACTTGTATATAGTTTTGTATTGAACTCAGACTTGTATTATATAATCACACGAAACGATAGCCTCGGGGTTAGTGTTTTCAAGTCATCAAGTCTTTAAAAAGTGGTTTTCATGGCATTCAATACAATAGTTCGCTGAATATAAAGATAAATAGAGAATTGAAACAATGAATCGTTGAATACAATGATATAGACTAGAGATGAGTCGCCCGGAGAGCGGAGAGAAAAAGCTGTGACTTGTGAGAAGAGTGAGAGGAATAGTACTGAAAGGCATCGACTATTGCTATGTTGTGTTCATAAAGAGACTGCACATCACATACACAACAATCGCGTCACACATCCATCGGATCTCTAACTCTCTCTAAGAGATGTATCCAAACATCCAATACATCCCAAACGCTGGTTCTTTGCGCGCACTCTAAATACATTCAATACATTGCATACACATTAACACAGCATAAACTCACATTCAATACTCATTTATTTTTGTATTTAATAATCAAAATTGCGATCATTTTGTGTATATGTAAATATAAGCCAATATTATATTTTCTATGAATACTGTTTTGTGTTAATAAGAGTCAATTGTTTCAATTTTGCTTAATTTGTTTAATAGTTGAGACATTTTTAAATAATATATTATAATTTTGACAAAACGATAACATCTGTGGCACAGCTTTTGTGCGATAGATATAAAAGCATGAATTGAAGGAAAGGAGAGAAAGGAAAGGACCAGTAGTTAGACATCAATTCTCTCTCTCTCTCTCTCTCTCTCTCTCTCTCTCTCCTAGTGTTTGTTATTGTATCTAAAGCTAAGGTCTTCTCTCGAGTGATCATTATTGGAGACCTATTGTAATGCAATGCAAGCAAAAAGAGCTCATATCATGAGGAAAGGGAGCAAACTTTCAATTTCTTAACATAATATCAGACAAAAGCATTGATTTTGCATCAAATCCATTAAAGACATCCTTTCTTCCAATATATCAGTTATTTTTATTGAAGTCGTAATCAAAAAAATGTGAAATAATAACAAAAGAGAATTCCTTTAATACTTGAGACTAACATTAGTTTAGAAAATATAGAAAAATGAAAAACTGACAAAACGAACGAACGATCACTTCTTCTCTCTATTATATTATACAGAATTATATTGTATTGAATATATAACTCGTTTAATCTACTCTCAGGTCTTATGTGGGGCTTACTTACAGCACAGCATTACAGCGCAAACTGTATGACACTGTATAACACTCTACTGTATATGCATTTAGGTATCAGTTATTTTGATATCATATTATTTGCCATTTTTTCGCTTTAATTCATACAATAATTGAGTCAAATCTCTGTCGATTTGAGGAATTGGGTGAAGTTTGCATTGAATTTCTATCAAAATAATCATATTTGATAGTAAAGTATTGCATTCACTGCTTGTTGAGTGTGATTATAAACTTCAGTCTCTTTATTCATACATTACTCTAAATGCATTTCTACTGTATATAAGAATATGTACACTACTGACAACATATCCAACAATTGCACATTTTAATACAAAAATATTTATATACAGTCTAAGAAATGCTAAGTCAAGCGATTAGATTAGATTATAACTTTAAAAAAATTTATCAAATAATAGAAAAGAAAAAAATCGTTTTATTCCCTCTTTTTTCACATTTATATTCCTATGAGATCTGCGAACTCGGCTCTACTCTCGGCTTATGTTTGTGCTGTTGAGGCGATTGATATTTTGTTGCAAAAAATTATTTTATATAAACACCAAAAATGAAAAGAAAGACAATTTAACACGATATTTAACAGTACTATAATCCATACACTTTAGTAAAATTATATTTCAGTCAATTCTATTATATATTTTACAATATTATATGAATTGCAACAAAATGAGAAGTGAAACAAAATTAATTTAGATACTATTTATGCAATAAATAAATTAATTTTTTTATTAAAGTATTTACTTATTATTTTGACTGTTATTGATATTTTGTAAACTAATATATTACAATTATACCAAATCACGAAATGACATGACACAAATGTAGTTTTATATGTTTTTAGCGTATTTTTAATTTACTCAAACATAAAATTGTTTGAATTATTTTAAAATTGACTTTTACATTGCTAATATTATGAGACTTCTATAAACCACTAAACTTTTAAATTGATGGAAGGTTTCAGCAATTTTTATTAATAAAATTGCTTGGCCATATATGCTGTACTGTACATGTATGTTTTATACTATTTTTATATACAATACATGTATATATTTAACTAAATTATTAAACACTAACGTTAAAAATTAATATTCTATAATATTTGTTGACTCGTGGTATTATTAACTTAATATTCCATTAAAAATAAATATATCTTAAAAATTCTTAATCATGATTAAAAGATTACATATAATGTAAAGTAATAAATAAATCAACGAATGAAAGTTTAGTCTAATCTTTTGAAGGACTTAACAATTAATTATTATAAAAATAACGAATGACTACAGAATAATATACTTTTATATTAATTTCAATAGCATCTGGAAATTTAATAATAGTTTAACTCATAATCTTTTTTCTAACATTTTGTATATAAAATAATCATTTCATGTATACCTATTGTTACAATAAGTAAACCCTTTGGATATCAGCTTAAAAATCAATTATAAAAAGTTTATTAATTTATTTGACTCATGTCAAATAGTCAATCAATCCATTAGAAAAGCATTAGCTGTTAGACTAATATCAGTGTGTTTTATGCATTTGTTTCATTCAGTCTGTATATTATAATTGCAGTAAAAATGTCTAACAAAGTGGTGACAGAAGAAGAAAGAATTGAATTTATATGTAGTCTAAGTTTGGATGATATTATAAAAGACCCGACTCTTCTTGATTACGGAAAGCCATCGTTTCTTCGGAATCCTTCACAAAACACTTCATCTGTTAAAGCGCCCGAAAAAAGACGGGAATCGCAGTCGACTTCAGGTATCAAAAAACATGGAAAACCAGAGCCAATACCAGACAACATCGGCAATGAGACCAATGGTCACGTATTTGTGCGAAATCTTAAATATGATATGAAGAGCAAAAAATTGCGCTCAATCTTTGAGCCGATCGGCCGATTGGTGAGTGCGGACATTCACTGTTACCCAAACGGCAAATCGAGTGGCACCGCAACCGTCGTCTTTGAACGCTTTCGGGACGCGGAATACGCCTGCAATTCGTTGGACGGAAAGATTGTCGACGGAAGACATATGAGACTAAATATACCTCAATATTCAATGCTACTAAACCTGCAGCACTCAGAGGCCAATGCTGTCAAACCTAATGTCACAAAACCCAATGAACCCAAACCTCAAACCAAACCCGATCCGCCCAAACCGGCTCAACCTAATCCGGTTCAACCCAATTCGGCTCAACCTAAACCTGTTCAACCCAAACCGACTCAACCCAAACCGACTCCCGGTCACTCTAAGCCTGTAGCCGGTAATTCTAATCTCACTGACGTTTATTCTGGTAACGCCCCTGAACATTTTAGAGTCTTTCCCGGGTATTCTAAGCCGAGACTAAGCCGAGAGCCGAAGCCGCTCCTGAACGGGGGTCCGTCGAAACCCAATGAATCCAAACACAGACCCAATCAAATGACTGAATCAAAACCTAACCAAAGAATTGAGTCGAAAGGCATTCAAACTAAACCTAAAGAGACGGTCGCTTCTGTTGTGACCCCAAAGGATAGGCCGTCAGAATCGTTGAAGAGATCGTTGAGCGCCGAAGAATTAGACAAAGATTTGGAGGAATACGCGGCCGAAAGAAAGAAGCGCCAGAGATATAACAAATTTGGCCGATCGTCTTAACAATCTTAACCATTTTTATTTGTTTTAAGTATTTTACTCAAAATCTGTTTTTTATAAACTCATACATGTATTTATAATTTTACAAAATATTGTTTTTCATTGTTTCTTAAAATATAAGTATCGATAAGTATTTCTTACTATTGTTAAAATCTACAGTTAGTTATTGTTTTCTATTCAATGTAAATTAAAGGTATTTGACATGTTTTTTAATATTTTATACAATCAATAATTAAACACTTAAATTGGCAATTATTTGTTATATCTTGAGGTTAAATTCAATAAAGTATTTGAAAGGTATAAATGTTTTAAAATGTATCAAAACATTCTTTACTAAAATCAATACATTTGTTATATTTTCAGTGGAGTATAAAAATATCTATAATACGAGACATTAAATATATTTCTTGTTTTAAAAAATGACTTAAAACTCGTTTATTTTCATTTATCACAAGAATTTCTACTGTTTTCTCGATTTTTTGATTGCATTTTCACTTGAGTTCAGTATTTATTTAGTTTTTCAACATTGAGTTCAATCTACAAGAAAATTGAAGTCAAATCATAATCAGAAAAGATTAAACATATCTTAAATATTTTTCAAGACTTCATTGATTTAAGAAATTGAATCATAACTTATGTCTGAAATCATTTTTCAGGTTTTTTGAAACACATCAAGCATTTTCAAAATTCAATAACATTTTCCACAAAAAATATTTGTAACAAAACTTTTGGACATTTTTTTTATAAATTATTAGCCAATCATTAGCTTTACTGCACATTACAAATGCTTATTTGGCGATTGAATGCAATTGTTTCGTTCAAATAACTTCAATAATTCAATTAACTATCAAATGAAAAATGATAAAAACAAATCCTATACTTAAAACCGTATTATTATAAAAATCCAGTTTATATTACAGTATACAGTATTTTAAAGAATATCCTTCTGTACTAACAATAAACAAATATTAGTTCAAAATTATTATTATTAAGTATATCCTTGGTCTATTTGACAAACTTTAAATTATATTGGCAGCTCTGTAACAATTATATTTTAATATTCTTTTTAATAAAACCACAAATTATTTTAATCTTATGATTAATTTTAATCATATAAAGCCTCAAAATGCGAATTATTTTGCTTATAATTTACTATATTTTATCGATTTTTGTCAAAATGACATAAAAATCAATCTCTATTTTATTCTCATAACACCGACCACTCGTTTATAATTAATTGCCTGTAAAATAAATGAATGTATTAGAGAAGAGAAGAGGAGAGAGAGAGAGAGAGAGAGAGCACCAAAGTTGTGCATTTTACTACAGAATAATAGTCTTATATTCTTGTTTAATTCTATAAGAAAAGGGTATTTGCAAAATGCGATGCACTGTAGTGTTTGTTGTGAACAGTATTATCAATACAACTAACAGTAATATATTTCAAAAACTTATTCTCTAATGTTTTTAATTTATAATTATAAATGAAATAACAGAATTGACATTACTTTTCACTTTCCAAACAAATTAATATGTATTTTTATTTATAAAACTTTTTTCACTTTTATCAAGCATTGTATGAATTGATATTTATTTGAATACAAATAACGCATTAATTTTGAAATGAATAGATTGTGAGATATATTTGTTAGATAAGAATTGTAATATACTTTCAAATGTTGTGAAATGTAATACTTTATATAATTCTGTCGCACAATATGTTACACGAAGTGAAGCATGAATTTGGAGCCATAGTATAGTACAGAATAGTATGGCATTTGGTATACAACTATGTGTTGTTCACTTCAATGCAAAATACATCAAACATTATATACCAATGTTTGGATATTTGAAACTGAAAGCCATTTCATTGTTTGCAACCCTTGTTTATCGCATTAAATGACGAGATTTGCAAAAATGATGAATAAAATAATGAGATGCAAACGAGTCAACACAAATCCAATCAACCAATATTCCCAATATTCTCGGCTAATATTCTTATTGTATTATATATTGTATTCTTTACAAATATTCTCATCAAATAATAGTTATATTTCTTATGATTGTAATGATAGGCAGGAATTGCATAAATGTATAACTTGTAAAATACTTTAATATACAGTATATTATATTTACAATAAAATAAATGACACCAAGAATTGCGATAAGGGATCAGTTGAATGGGGGCTCAGACTGAGGGGCACAACAATCGGCGTATAAGTGATGATTAAAGTAATGATTATTCAATCAATATTAGCTGTTAGGCTGTTAGAGTCACAGCAATCCTACAGACTTAGAACATATCAAACTTGGGCTCATATAGCACACCATATAGTGTATGGCATTCACTATACATAACAGCAATAGTGAACTAAATAATGATTGAAAAAGTTGTAAATCATAATTCTGTGACCACTCATACCCTCTACTCTATACCAAATGGGAACCCATGTTAGGGTCACTCAAGTTATACAAGTCTTGTTGTGTCCAAACAATTGAGTCATATTCCGGTCATTCAAAGCATATTCTTATCAAACTTAAGTTAGTTAAGATAAAGATACCGCAATAATTACCTGCATTAATAACGCATTTGATATCAGTTGGTTTTGTAACTTACTTAACTTTAGTCTAAATTTAAAATTTGGTTTTTATACAAATTTGTTTCTGTTCAATCACTGGACTATTGTTTGGCCCAAGACTTCGACATCAATGGTAAGTGTCTTTGAATGGCATGTAATGAAGGCTCGCATTGAGTGCATTGATTGACTCATTGATTGACTCGTTGTTTGCATCGATAATGAGATGCAAAGAGTGTCCGATCGCTGATGGCGTGGATTGAAGAGCAGAAGATCAGACACTATAAGATTGAAGACAGAGCTGTTCTCAGAGATGTGGACCACAAAGACTGGGACACAGCCTTCCATCAGGTATTCACTCATCATATGATCACTCGATCGCATCCAACCATCGCTTGACTCTCTAATGGTTTGTACAGTACTTGTCGGACATCTCGTGTCCCTTCCCTTCAAGTGAACTGAATTTAGTGTTGGATTGGATTATCACAACTGCCATCACATTTGAATACAGAGACAATTGTATGTTTTGGCCACTAATTGGTCTGTCATTTATCACATTTTCTGTGTTTCAGTCGAAAAGTACAAGAATTTTGGTGAAGACAATGGCAAACAAGTGGTGACAGCGAATCCAATCGATGGCCTCGACTTCGACAGCAATGAATTCAAAGAAGGCGTTAAGCAATTGGCAGAAGTACTGAAAGTGCCGATACATGCGACCAATCATTTGATTACTTTAACGGCTATTAGTCTTGTTATCAAAAATCATATTTCAATGGAAGATAAAGAGAAGAGAGAGGAGAAGAGGAATCTCAAGACCGATAGAAATGTACTGAAGACTGGATTAGATGACAATTCTATGCCATTGAAAATGCGCTCAAATGATAGGGTATTAACTAATTGTGCAAAAGTCGTGCGACTCTTATATGTCAACGATTTAAGAGAATTACAGACAAAAGTGAATGAAATGATTGCATCGATTCAGTCGATTACAGCTAATCCTAAGACTGACACCTCTTTAGGCAAAGTCGGTGTTAAGTGACAAACATTTTATATTACAATTCAGTTTATATGAATACATTTAATTGTTTGCTAAATATTTATTATATTTAATATAAAATAAACGTATATTTAAATGAATATTAAACTCATAATTGCATAACAAATGATTTTACTAAAGAAAACCAAAACCATTTTCCTCCAAAAATGTAATAAATTATTTGTGATAATGAATGCAAATCTGTTAATTATCGCTGCTATACCTCTGACCTACGCTTCAAACCCCCACTAATCGACACATTCTTCGGGAGTTATGGCCATAGTTTTGGGGCTAATACTTGATTCATTACAGTTCGCATATCAATAGAAACCTCTTAAGATAATTGACATTTTCAAAGAACACAATTATTGCAAATTAACTTAATTTAAACTTTTCACAAATATTTATTATATTTAATATAAAACAAAATTTTTATTCAAATGAATATTGAATTATAAATCACTTTGGGATCAATTGATTGCACGACTCGTGGTCGCCGTCGTCGGGACACATACAGGTGCGGCCCCGAGAGTTAGGCAGACATAAGTGTCTGCACCCGCCGTTGTTTATAGAGCACGCGTTACTAATTCGCGGACAATGTCTAGGAATTGTCACTATTGAATAGAGTCTTCCGTTTCCACCCAATGGCAACTCCAAGGGGTCAGCAGTGCCTCCCTTTCGGTCAACTCTTTGGATATACTTTCTGTTTTGGCAAAATAATTGTCGTTTCAAATGAGATATAATTTCTAGTCATTGTTGTAATCATTATTCACTCACATCTCCCAATCCGTCCAATAAATGTTATTCCCAACGATTGCCAAATCAAATGGATATGCTATTAATACAAGTATTTAATGTATAATTTCATTACATTAAAAATGTACGACAAATATCTACCCGTCGGGGTGTGAATAATACGACGACTACTGCTGTATAAGTCGATGCATTCAATCCGATGCAGTCCGGCGTCTGTCCAACACAAGTCATTTCGATCGAAATCAATGGCAAGATTATTGGGAAGACCTAAATCTGTGTTCACGAGTACTGTTCTGCCGGTGCCGTCCAGATTGGAAACTTCAATTTTGGGTGCCGTCCGACTCCAGTCAGACCAATACATTTTGCCACTTATTGTCAAGTGATGTGATTATCAATCAATGTTTATTAATGTATTCTACAATATATGCAAAACAAAAGCTATAATACCTGCCCGGGTGTACGACTATTCCTCGCGGATCATTCAACCCCTCATTAATGATTGTTTTATGCATTTTTCCGTCAAGTTTTGAGACTTCAATCGTGTCTTTCAGTGAATCGGTCCCTAAATTCAAAAATAATTGAGTTTAGAAATAATTCTAAACAAATAGTTTAAATAACTTAACAATAAATATTCCTCGAAACCCAATCAATGGCTATTCCTTCGGGTGACCCGAGAATGCCTTCAATCACTGTTTCAGACGAAGAGCCGTTATAAGAGGCCCGATGTATGACTCCGTGGGCGACATCAGTCCAGTAAACCAATCCATCCAAACAGTCGACGTCAAGACCGGCAGGAATTTGATGCGGTTTTGTGAGCAGCAGTTTTCCCTTATCTTCTTTGGTCGGTTGTAATGGCATTCGCAGTAAAGACATGCCTTGAGTGAAGATTAAGTAATCGCCGTCATGTCGGGGAGCAATACTGCACTCAAAGCCGTCCCCAACGAACCCATACCGACAATGGCAGACATGGGTCAGCATCTGTTCAACGTATACGCAATCGGCGTTTCGGTCACATATTGTCTGGTCTTCTCTGCAAGTTCTCGACGGACGACATCCAAAGCCATCGCCAATAAAGCCTTACATTAGTATAATATGTTGTCATTAGATAAATCAATAGTGAATTAAAGCGATCATACCATCGATACACTGACACCGATATCCCTGTGCATCGAAAAGGTATTTGCATTCAGCCTTCACATCGCAATTGTTAACTATATTACACGACAGCACCAGTTGTTTGCACTGTTTTCCATCCCCTTTAAAACCTATCTCTCATTCAATTAAAAATTTCATATTTATTATAATTGATGTAAAAACAACTGGAAATGAGAGCCAACCGGTATTGCATTGACAGGTGTATCGCTGGATATTAAGATCGTAAGCACAGGTAGCGTTTGAATGGCAGTCGTGTAACACTTCACACGTCGCGTCCGCTTTCACCACACATTGCTTTCCATCTCCCGAATAGCCTATTAAATGCATTTCACAATTAGATATAAAACATATTTAATATGATATTAGGAGCAAACCTTCATTGCATTGACACTCGTATTTATTGTAGACACTATTGTGAAGACATCGAGCATTTCGACCGCAAGAATCCTGTTGTCGATTACATTCACTCGAATCTAAGACATATTTTTAAAAATACTTTGATTGATAAAAGAAGAAACAATTGATAAATGTTTTGTACCAATAGAAGGGCCGCCTCTGTAGCAAATGATGCCATCGCCTAAGAATCCTGTCCTACACTTACAAATACTCTTTTGTGAGACAATATCGACAACACATTCGCCATTCGGTGAACAGACATTAGAATCCGGACTACAATTCACTTCCCCTTTAATATTAATTTAAAATAAATTGTTTTTTAGAAAATATCTCATATATTCCACTATATATTTCAAACCTGAAGATCGGGTGCATTGAAAGCCGTCTCCAACGAGGCCTTCATTGCATTGACACGAATACTGTCCACTTCTGGGATCGTAAACACATTTGGCGTTTGTGTGACAGTTATTGATTTGATTACAACTTTGATGATTGAGTTCTGCATAACAGGTATAGCCGTCGCCCACAAATCTATCATCAATTTGAACGAAATTAACCAAAGAATAAACAAGAATTATATTTACCCGGAATTACACGAACAATAATATGCATTATTGCTGCCCTCATCTGATATACATTCGGCATTCTGTCCGCAATTGTTTAACAATTCACACGATTCTGATTCTTCTATACATAGAATGCCATTCCCTTTATAACCCGCTCTACAGAAGCATTGGTGTCGTTGTGTCGACGGATTTGCCAAACACTCGGCGTTTACATCACATAAGTTATAAGTGCGACAGTCCTCTGTCTCTGACTCTATTCTGTCGCTTCTCCTGCANTGTCATTTATAGCGATTAGTCGTATACCAAAAGAAGTTGGCTTTGATTTGCAAACACTTTTTACGATTGGTTCTGTCGTCGGATGGCTTTTCGCGTCCACAAAATCCGGTGCTCCCAATGGGTTCACAATAACCGGTAATTAGTTTGGGGTTTATTATAAGCACAACTCGATTAAAATTAAAACAATGTTTGATTGTCTCTAATTTGATCCAAAGGCGGAATATTTAACAGATCAGCAGAAGTGGACTTTCCACAGACGGGTCATCGTATTTATATAACTGAGCAATTTCTAGGACCCGATGTTTTTAATTTTCTTAAAGTTAATTTACAAATCCGGGGTTCTATGCCATCGGTTCCCTCGATGTCCAAAGTACTGGTCGACGACTTCTTGGAAGAGTTCACTCGAGTGTCTGCGGGAGTGATCCGTTCGCACGCAACCCATTCGTTCAGATTCGGCGAAACCTCGTTAAGCATTCCTATAGTTATCGACCAAACAATCACTTACGAAGAATGCGAATTCGCGCCCATCGATGACAAACTCTCTACACTTCAGTTAGCAATCGCTCGTAATTTCATTGTTTATGATAAAGAGGAACAGATTGTGAGATATGCGTCGACCAGTAAAACATCCTTCTTATCCGGTCAGTAGTCCTTAAGATGAAGCGCTCAATGAATGGTCAATAATATAAATTACGATATATAGCTGACGACCCGTGCCGTACGGGTAGCACACAATGCGGTACTCATAGCAGTTGTGTAGTCGAGGGCTTAAGTTTTAAATGCATTTGCGATCGCGGATATCAAACTGATTTCATAACTGATGCTCAAAATGAACTCAGAGTATCCAATTGTATTGGTTCGTTGATTAGCACACATTTGATTGCTTTTTACTAATTATGTGCCATTAATTGATAGATATAAACGAATGCAGTTCTTCGAGACAACACGCGTGCCATTCATTTGCTGATTGTATTAATATCGAGGGCTCGTATGCGTGTCGATGCAAAGCCGGCTATACTGGCGATGGATATCAGTGCCAGAGTATTAAAGAGTTTCTTTTATAACTTTTATTTCTACAATTATTTGTAAATAAATTTAATTAAAAGTTTTTATGTTTTTATGAAATCAGAGGAACAACGCTGTGAAAGTCTTATAACTTGCGGACCAAATGCACAATGCATTCACTTAGAGCAGAGAAACCCTGAGTGCAAATGCAAACGTATTTACTATATTTTAAGACTTTTGGCGACAATTTATACATAATTTTATTGATACTATAGATGGATATGCGGGCGACGGACAGGTCTGCAGGAGAAGCGACAGAATAGAGTCAGAGACAGAGGACTGTCGCACTTATAACTTATGTGATGTAAACGCCGAGTGTTTGGCAAATCCGTCGACACAACGACACCAATGCTTCTGTAGAGCGGGTT